GTACAGCGGGGCTGGCCCAGGAAAATAGAGAGAGGAAGGGAGAACTGGCCACTGGAAGCAGGGCTGACAGCGGGTGCAATGGGGTTGGCCAGGGAAGATCGGGAGGAGGAGTGAGAGAGAACCAACTGGCCAGCCAGGAGGGGGCGGTGGGGAGCAGGACTGAGTCGGGCAGTGCAGATCCCAGGACGCTGCTGCCCCCCGCATGGTCCAGGTGAAGCACGAGTCAGTCCGGCTGTGGCTCCACCACGCACTTGACCAGTGCGCAGGAGCACGGACTGGGCTGCCCCTCCTCACATGCAACCAGGGCTCCCAGCACCAATCGCACCCTGCCTCCCAGCCACCCCCCGCCAGGCTTCCGGGCGCCCAGTCGGAAAACCAGAAAATACTGGACATTGCACATGTCCAGTATTTTCTGGATTCTTTTTACTGGACAGAGCCCCCCAAAAATGGACTGTCCGGTAGAAAACCAGACACCTTGCAACCCTAAGACATTAGGGTGTGCCTGGGCATACCTGGCGCACCCCATATGCACGCCAGTGATCTCCTTGAGTCTAGCCGCAGTTCCCGGCATTTTCCTCCTCCTGCAGCCAAACTGAGCTCTGAGCTCTGCACCTCCCCCCCGTGCAGCCCAGCCCAGCTCAGCCCAGCACCCCTCACCTCCCCACTCTTGCAGCCCAACCCAGACCCGCAGCTCTTCACTCTCATAGCCCAGCTGAGCTCAGTTTCCCTGCACCTCCCCCTAAACCAGGAAGACATGCTGAGCCCAGCGCTGATTCCCTGCCCCTTCCTCCCTCCCTCCCCTTGAGTCCAGCGTCGGGTTCCTGGCACCACCCTCCTCCTGCAGCCCAGGTGAGCCCAGTGCCCCGCACCTCCCCCCCAGCCCAGCCTGGTGCCCCCGCCCTCCCCCTGCTCCCCCCTTGCTGTGCCTCTGCCAGGAGCCCAGAACACCCAGCTGCATTCTCAGCCCGGCCCAGGGCTTGGGGTACCTGGTGCTGCACAGGCACTCCGGAAGCCTGGAACACCCCAGTAGCTATGCTGAGGCCTGGTACTTTTTTCCCGCAGACCAGTACCGGGCCGTGGCCCATAGTTTGGGAAACGCTGCCGTAGAAGATCTTAGCTAGTATTCATATCTAGATTAATGTCTACCTAAAGTTGAATGAAAAATTCAAGGTTGAAATTTATGTTTCTCTTCTGGTAAGAGAAAGCACGGACCTCATTCAGGGGAAAAATCTCTCTAAATATTTCC